CAACCCACACAGGGGGCATTTGGCCCTGTGTGTTCTCTCGTCTCTACCCCCCTGCCGCAATATCGGCAGGTGTGGTCGGCAGCTTTTTCCGCGCCGAGCAGCATGAAGGCTTGCCTGTGCACTTGGTATTTGATCGCTGGGGACAATCAAACTGCTGGGTTGCTGCTACGGAACTTAATTTAAGTTACTATATTGGGGGAACCATGTTAATTACTATGTATACTCATTATGGTAACTTAATCTAAGTTCCTTAAGCCGCTATATTCCCCAAGTGCTCATTTAAGTTTCCATTTTCTTGTCTACTTGATTCTCCGTTATAGTGGGAAGCTCTATTAATTACTATATATGCCCATTATGGTAACTAAGATTACGGTCCTTAACAGCAACCCTGCCTGGAGCCTGAACAGTTCGCAGCATGTTTGAGCCTTCTGTTGTCCTAATCCATAGTTCCAATGCCGCGGCCCAGATGTGCATATAGTCGCCTTAAGTAGATAGAATATAGGGTTTATATAGGGATACTGGAGAAGAACATGGAAACTACTATTTAGGGTTTAGGGTTTGGGGTTTAGGGTATAGCCCCCCTTTAGTAGATAGAATATTGGGTATATGGGTATTAGGGTTTAGGGTTAAAAAAGAATTATACCCAAAGCTATATTCTATCTACTTAAGGTGGACCATCGGATTTCTGCAAATGGCTCGCATAACTACAAAGACCGCTGCCTATTGCGTATCTGTGCATGTAAGGTTCTCCTGAGGCCTCCTGATGCCTAGTTGCTCCGACTCCAAACCCCAATCATGACTGGTTTCAGTCGTTTCTAAACCCTAAACCCTAAATAGTAGTTTCAATTTTCTTTTGCTGATATCCCGAGATGACCCCTATCTGCTTAAGGGGGACCGTACCTTAAACCCATAAACCCTAAACGCTAAATCCTAAACCTAAATCCTAAACTGTATAGGTCTCAGCCTAAAGCTGCTGTGCCTTAATCAAAAGGCCAAAGACTAGATATGACACCATTTTCAGGGTATGTCGCTTCCCCTAGGGTTTAGGTTTAGGGTCTAGCTAGCAACGAATGCCCCCGGGCCACTCCAGTACTGTGCAAGTCCACAGCCTGACATGATGTCTGACTGGTGCATAGTGGCGAATAGGGGAGATAAAGCCTATCGTAGCCCCTCTAAACCCCAATAATGGTCCCGGGAACAATTCTCCTGACATTGGTAGTTATTCAGGCTTCCCTACCCTGTAACCTCTGTAAACACTTCCAGAACCCCCGTCATGTAGTTTTCCAATTTCATGCTCCTCTTGACTTAGTTTGTTGTTTGTTGGCAACTCTTTCGGCCCCTATGTTAAACCCTATCCTTGTAAGCCCTACAAGCCCTAAGCCCCAGGCAATAGCCTTTAAACTGCAAGCCCTGATCATTAGCATCAGGTCGCCTTGCTGTAGTAGCTCCTCTCATCCTAGCCTTGCATAGCCTTTTTTTTGATGCTCCTAGGCACCCAGTAGAAGGCATATATATATATATGTATATATATAAGCTTATGCAAGGGTACCCGCCTGGTCCAAGACTTTAAGTTTGTACCCTGGAGGCGTGTAACCTTGGGTAGGGTGTAGGGTTTCTATGGTTTGGGGTCCCAAATACCCCTGACTAAGGGCGATATTCCATGGTTTAGCCCCCACGGGTACACGGGCAAACTCCTTGACCTGGTAACTGCTCACCTGAATATGAGTTGTCCCTTAATATTGCCTTTATTGTGGCCTAGGTACCTTCTATGAGGAGCCCTGTAACGGGTAGTCGGAGGGTCCTGATAAGCCCTCTAAACACTAAACCCTAACTGGTAGTTTTCATTTCATTGTCCATTTGCTTTTCCGTTGGATTCTCCCCTGTTTTGGTAACATCTGTATAACCAAGCCTATCTGATCCCCATATAACCCTACATTGTCTATAGTTTTACCTGAAATTACCCTACCCCCTAAACCCTAAACCCTAAACCCTTAACCCCACCCCCTAAACCCTAAACCCTTGAATCTTCCCGATTGCGCAGGTGTGAGCGCACCAGAGGCCCAGCAGCAAGATCTGGGGTCTTTAGCCACAGAGTGATAATAGGGATTATATTAGGGTCCTCTTATATTCCTATTATACCATTCTTGCAGGGTGGGGGGTCCTCCTAGCACAGAGTCAGGGTTTGGGGTTAAGGGTTTAAGGTTAAAAGTTTAGGATTCAGGGTTAAGTTAAGGGTTAAGGGCTTAAGGTTGAGGGCTTACGGTGCACGTTTAAGGGTTCAGGGTTAAGGGTTTAAGGTTTAGGGTTCAGGGTTCAGGCTTTACGGTTTAAGGAGGATGTACTGTAAGGGCAGATTCGTAGACATACGTGTATGAGGGAGTTTCCCCCATTTTTGTTTGCATACGTTCTTGTGGTCTATACTGGGTCATCATCCTATTTGTTGAGGCTTCTCTGTATTTTCTGCCTCAAACCCTTTGACCCCACCGCAGTGCTTGGAGGCTCATCCCGGACCAGATCTGATACTCTTAGCAGTCCATACCATACAGGTCGGGGTTTGCTGTTGTGCTTTTTGGCGAGCGCATCAGTATATATGGGCTCCTTAAGAATAATGGTGAATCCTTACGAATATTGGTGAATGCGGCGTCCAATTCGGGAACTCGCAAAAAAAATCTTACCCTCTGCAGAATCCCAACCTTCAAAGCGAGCACACCCAGAAGAGGGCTAGACCTAAATCCTCAACCATAACAAACTCCCTTTTAACGGAGTACATAGCGAGTATAGTATATAAAGGATCCTAAGCCTTAATCGATCAACCTCAACCTGGCCGGACTGGGAATTGCCTCATATTTAGCAATACACGGAAAACAGTTTAGGGTTTACGGTTTAGGGTCTGGGACACCCGATGGGAATAACACTGCATTACATTCTCTCACCCCCAAACCAGAGCAAACCCAACAAGAAACCTTGGGCAGTAATTAACCTGAACCTCCCAGCAAGCGCCTACTACCCAGCACCTACCACCCCCTAGACCCTAAACCCCAACCCCTAAATTCCCATGCCCTTCTTAGACCGTTCCCACCCATTTATAGGATGGTCAGACACTGAAGCTTACTGGTTCTTTGTAAAAGGAATATATTATATACGGATTATGATCCCGTATTCCCTACTAAGAACCAGTAAGTTCACAAGGCACGAGGTAGGGCCCTTGACAGGCTGATGGTATCAACATACTTGATCGTCTTGAGGTCAGGTGGGAATTGAGGGCGCCAGCCCGAAGGCCTAACCGGAGATGGTTTGGGTTTTGGGTTTAGGGTTTAGGGTTTAGGGTTTGGGGTTTAGGGTTTAGGGTTGGTATTGGTACAAAGTAGGGTTTCTGTAGTAGTAATTTCCCTTATGGTTTGGGCAAGTATTCCCCATATGGGTACTTAGGACCCTTTGGGGTTGTTGTATCTTCATAGCGGGTGGGAAGGTTGAGAATTCCAAGTTTCTTCAATGGGTTCTTGAAAACACAAACGTGCGAGGGTCGCTCCCAACAGAATTTTGGCAAAAGGGTGGTGCCATCTGCCCATTGTGCAACCCTAAGCCCTAGACCCTAAACCCTAAACCACCAGTGAGAAGACCAGGAGTCGACAGCGGATCGACTCACCAAGTCGGTCCCGGAGCCGAAATCTGCAGACCAAAGCACGTCGATGATTTCGCACCGGGACGGTTCAGGGTTACATAAAGGGACGCTGTACCTATACATACGGGGGGATATCTATATCTATATATATATATTCATATACGTACACATGTATATAAATATATATTCATATGGATTATGTCTGGTTTCCAGTTTAGGCTCTGACTTTGGGCCCCGACCTTAAATCATATGAGTTTACTGCAGAGGGATAGCTCTAACAGCACATAGGCAAAACCCCCAAAAGCTATCATGGGGGCATGTATGGGGATTGCCCTGAAAGCCCAATCTCCCCTGATTAAGGGAGACACCCTACATGACATATGAGTATCCCTCATATGACTTAGGGTACACATTCCAAATCAAGGGTATTGGGCTTTCTGGTTACAGAAGGACTATTATAAAACTCTCCCTTAATTCTGCCCGGTAAGTCTGTGGTTGAGCTTCCCTCACTCTGCTGTAGCCATGTCTTGGAAGACGTCTGTTTGATTCATGAGGCCATGAGGATTAAATTATGCCCTTTGTCTTATGGGTGTTTAATTTGCGCAGCAAGGATTTAATTCGGGCGGGACCCCGAAGTCGAAAAATGAGATGATAGGACGAAGCATATCTGCGGTATCCGTACGTGGGCATCTGAACGTATACAGTGATCTATCCGCGCACATCCGGGCTAGAGTCTAAACTCCTTAAAGGGGTCTGTCTATATAGGGGATTATATAGAGGACTGCTATAGGGTTATGAGGGGGGATACGGGGAGTTTAGACTATAGCTCATCTTTCTTTCCTTCTGCATCTGCAATATGTGTTCTTGGGGCAGCGCCTTGAGAAAACCTGCAGCATGTAAAGACTGCATGGTTCTTACACATTTCTCCTTAGTTCTAGTGGCCCACATAGCTCGAAGTAGGTGACATTTGCTTACCTTAGGGCTCAATGTAGGTTTTGTGCTGTATGATTTTACATCGCCAGGGTAATACTTGCATGTATGATTGAGGGCCTTTGCATCTCAACGTATACAGCTGAGGGCCGGCTTCCTTGAAAAACGGAGGCAAAGCCTTGGACCCCAAAGCTTAGCATGTTCATGTGAATATGGGGGTCTCCCAAAGTCAGGGGTACCCTTTTCGGGGTCCCAATAATAAGGACTGCAGTATGCTGGGGTCCCCCTATTTCAAGGAAACTACCACATTTCCATGGTTCCATACAGCCTCCAACTCGAATTCAAGATTCCCGTGCGCAAATCCGTTCGAAAGATGCAGGAGGGCCCGACCTTTGCGGAACCTGATCGCCTGGACTTCGCAGCAAAACACCGCCAACCCTCGCCAGAAATGCAAGGTGTCCACTTGACCTTTGGCTTTGGGATTTGGGGTTTGGTAGTTCTGATCCTTCGTTGTAAGCGCTTCCCGGGCATGGGCTGAGGGCGATCTCCAAGACCATTGTCCAAAGAAGTCCTGAGCTGTAACAAAACCATTCCCGAATACTCTAAAGATACGGATAGAATGTGCCGAAACTTTGCTCCAGTAGGCCAGTATGTTACAACGGCCGTAAATCTAGCTTGCATGTGGCTTCATTGTCCATTTGGTTCTACTTTATTTTGGTTGTTTCGTTTTTTTCGCCCCGGAACCCTAAACCGTAGTCTAATAATCAGTTAGGCTCCCAGACCTCAAACCCCGTACTGCTAATTTGTGCATTTGCACTGTTTGGGCACCTAAGCCTATAAACCCTGACCACCAAATCCCAAACTTTCTGTCAATATAATCTACGCCCCTAAGCCCGAAGCCCTGAACCTGTAAACCCAAACCCCGTAATCTTTCAAATTTTGATCTCCAGAAATTATGCCAATCGTTCAGGCCCTTGTACCGTATTTGTGCACCCTGCTAGGCAGCAGCCCTTCACGCCCTGGGAAGAGAAGGGAAGATGCTGCTGGCATGATACATAGATCTTGACCTACACTGGTTGAGGTCCTATTAGACCTTATATAATCTACTCTTGATAGAGTCGCGATAGTCAGGTCTGGGTCTAATGGCCTAGCCTGGGCAGAAAGCTTGCAGAGATTGTGGTGGGTTGGACCTGAAGATGAGAAGGCGTCACCGGGGCTCTTGATGGATCTGGGCCACATGGTAGCGCCATCAGGTGAGAACTGCCCTTCTACTCATGTTCATTGGTTTGCAATCTAGGGAAGCTAAAACAACGCAGCGTCCGAGACTTGCTCTATCCGAAGGTTCAGGTACCCAATCATCAAATTATTTCCTCAAGGCCCATACTACAATTGCGTAATTCCCAAATCCTAAGCATTTAGTTATTGACTACTCGGATCTGTCGGATTATGATTATGTACACGTACCCTATAATGGGCTACATGCCTGCATACTTGAGGACTAGAAGTGGCTCCCCAGCCAGATAACATCTTCTGATTTGGCTCTACCTGAACCCCAAAAGTATGTAAAATAATAACCCTAAACCCTTAACAATAGCCATACAGGCCATGATTTTACATACTTTTGGGGTCCAGGTACTGACATACAGAGTTTTGGGAGCATCATTTACTGTAGTCGGTCTGGCCAAAACTAAGCTCGCAAACCTAGCTGCGCCCTCCCGAAGAACCTCCACAGACCCCCAAAGTTATAGTCCTTGCAAAGGACCTAAGATGGAGTCAGCGAACTGTTCAGAGGCCGGGACCCTGAAATTTCTATCCACTTGCTAGTCATTTGCAATCCTTGCAAGATCCTCAGTTGCTGTTTTCAAGTCTGAAGCTCGGCTTCGTAAAGTCACGTCAACTTCCAAAACCAAAAATCCATAACATCAATTTCCTCCCCCTAGAAACTTTATGGAGGTTTCCCAAAATTACGGGGGGGCCCATAAGAAGGGTTATGATATTTTGGGGTATGTATTGGGGTCCCCTTTTTTAGGGAAATTACCATATAGGTATATATATATATAGAGAGAGAGAGAGATAGAAAATGTACTTTACATCCTGGGAAGCCCAAGGTACAGCCTGGCTCCATGCTGACAAAGAATTCGCCTCGAGGTCATTGACAAACTGCAGGGCTCGGAGGGTTTTAGGTTTTAAGGACTTTGGGGCGTGGGCCTCACTAAAACTTAAACTTTTAACCCCTAAGCCCTGGGCTTAGGTTCAGGTTTTGGGGCTCAGGAGTTCGCGTTTTTGGGTTCCGGACTGGTGGGATTCAGGGTTTGGGTCTAGGCTTGGGAGCCAATGTTCTCCTGGCAGCCGATATCATTCTGCATACTTGTAGGTCTTCCTTCAGTCTCTGCCCCCTAAACCGCTAAACCCTGATGGTCTTTTGGGTTTGGGGATAGGTTGGTTGGGCACTGGTGATGGCAAACTATGCATGGGTTTTGTGAGAAGTGCTGAGACAACAGGGACATCAAGGAGTTCTCGAACTTCTGGCTCTGGACACTTTCCAGATATGGGTCTTTGTTTGGAGGATGATCGTAAGGAATGCATTGTTGCGAAGCAAGCTCCATGGACATCTAAACCCTTCATTTTTTGGTGAGACATTCCCAGATTGAGGCTCTCCAAGCTGTGTGATGGTTCCACGAACGCATGGTTCCGCTTCAGGGTCATCGCTTGCAGCCCACCAGAATTCCAGCCCTATCGTGTACCTGCATCCCCCTAAATCCGAAATCCTAGACATGGACTCGCTGAGTTTAACCATCCCTCACTAAGGCTACTTAAGGGGGAACTCCAAAGGGGTAGCATAGGGTAAGTGGGGAGGACGCCCTTACTTGGAGGTTCAAGGGACTTTGTGGGCTCACGACCCGGCCCTATAGGGGTTACCCCAATTACAAGTCAGGTTCTAAGCACAGTTATAAGCCCATCGTAGTCACAAAGTCTGATGGACCTTCCAGTAAAGGCATCCTGGATGCAACTTCAAAGCGATTCGGGCCATCTGGGGCTTATGGTGCTGCTGCCCATCGACGCCGGAACATTTCCCATCACCACAGCCACTGTGGCAGCATGTTGAAGAGTTGGTGTGCGCGTGTGTGACCACATGTACCCAAGATTAGCCGATCCCATTCTAGAGACCCTGGAAGAAGGAGAACCACGGTTTCAAGAAAATGGGGACCGAAGGTCAGATTGCTGGCCCCAGCGCTTCTCGCAAGGAGTGTGGTGTCTGAAGCTATTGCATGTTTCTCTTGGTTCGGGGATTTTTTTCGCTTTATTCTAACTCGGGGTGTTGTATGGGGCTCGAAATGCATGTAATTCGGTACAGGATGTGCTCTTGTTTGTTTTGCTCTTTGTGTCCGCAGCTGCAGCTGTACACCCTTACCCTAAATCCCAAACCATGGTTTTTTCTTTGGTCCTTGCACTTCACTTCCTCCCTTTCAAAAGGTACACTGTAAATTCCACACCCTGAGCCGCACACCCTCAGCACCCATCAGGAGTCAAGCTCTACAGTCCAAACGAGTAGTATTTTATTTGGGGATATTATGGCAACCATTATAGAGTAAGATTATATCCTCCTTTTGGGGTATAGTATCTTATATAAGGAATATTATCTTACTAGGTTCAACCACCAAAAACAACACTACTCAAATCCTGAGCTGCAATCCTTTTCCTAGACCCTCATAACTTATACCATATCCCTTGCTGAGGGTAGTTGCCAGACTTTGTGTCTAGTGACCTCTACATACAAATTAAGTACCCTAAACAAAGTACAGCCCAAACACTAACTTCTCAGGTGTTGGCCTTCTTCAGCAAGCTGCGCCAGGCGATGCCTTGCAGATGTGTTGACCTTCTCGTGAGTCTCTCAAGATGACGCCTAAACCCTAAACCCCAAACCCCAAACCCCAAACCCTAAACCCTAAACCCTAAACCCCTAAACCCTAAGCCCACCTCTAGACCCTGAATCGAATCTTTGAAGGAGGGATCCCTCAGGGACATACAGGGATATTGGGGGATATTTAGGGATGTATGGGGACATATAGGGATATACAGTTTAGGATTTAGGGTTTAGGGTATGTATATATATATATGTATATAGATATGTATATATATATATGTGAAATTTTGGGATATATAGGGTTCAAGAGTTGAGGTTGATCCCCCTCCCACTAGTAGTCACCACTAAGTATTCTTATAGTCCCGCTTAAGTAGGTAGAATATTGGGTATATGGTAATCTGATTATAATATACCCAAAGCCGTATTCTATCTAAAGGCTTCTGCAGAACAAGCCCTACACAGCCCCAAGGGGGCAGGGCTCTTACCCTAAACCCTACACCCTCAACCCTAAACAAACCCGAAACCCTGAACCTCTTGGGTTCTTAGGATCTCCCCGGTCACCCGGGATAGCCCTACTTTCACAAATCGTGTCGAGTCATCCTACGAGATGCAGGATGTTTTCGGCCAACAGCCATTCCGCCCCCCGCAATCTCTTACTAAGGAGAGTAGCCCTTACGGGCACGCCTGTTATGATGTGACACGCCTCTGTAGAGGAAGTGCCTCGTCCCGAGAGGGGGGAGGGATGATCTCGCAGGTAGCCCTGCCAATGGTTACGATGCTGGCGGCTATGGCGGGTACACTGGCGCGTACGACCACGGATACGGCCACCAAGGAAAATCGGGAGGGGTTGAGATATGGGGTTTCCCAAAGTTACGGGTCCCTTTTTGGGGCCCCAATAATAAGGACTATAGGATATTGGGGTCTATATTGGGGGATCCCCTAGGGAAACTGCCATATTTTCCAATGGATTTTAAGTATTTTATCGCAAGTTCATATGATAGATATAGTGTCCTTGTTATAGTGGCTGGGATAAGTAGAAATTCCGTTATTCTCATTGTGGCAGGATCGTACACTACACCCCCTGCAAGCTGCCCCCTGCCCAAAACAATGTCCAAATGGACCCTTGTTAGGTTTTCTCCGGAGTTCTGCTTTGGGGGGAGAGTAGAGGGTATGTCTTGTAGAGGATCCCGTGAAAGAAGGGATGGAGGCTTTATGGGATTAGATTGTAGTCCCGGCCATTCGTCAGGAATGCCACTGACCACAACAAACCCCCGCTAAGTTCCAGTCGTCGATAGGGCTTAGGGATTGCCTGGAGATCTGCTTGAAGGGTTTAGGGGGGAGCAATATGATTAGTATGCTTATTCTTGATAATTTTACTATTACTAGTACTATGGGTTTAGGGTCGAATAAACTTGATACTGTTTGTAGTCAGCGGGATCTCCACTGATCCTTCACATCCAGGTCTACCTGTAACCCCAGCTAACTTCCGTTTTGTGGTCTATACCGACTTATTACGGGGTAATTACTGCTGACGTGTATCTCATTAGGGCCACAGGTACGCCTTGAGCACATGACGCGCAAACTGCAGACCAGTATTGCCAATGTACAATCCTTGGACCACACACCTTCCATGTATTTTTTGGCACCTGCGACGCTGTTCTACCCGTGCCAAGCACCTTGTACCTGCCACTCCTTCTTGTTTCGAGTCATTGTCATACTCGAGTACCAAAATGGAGAATGTTAATCATAGGGTGTTGTTTTTGAATCATAGTGGGCGGAAGACAAAGGTAGTTGCTGTTCGAGAGGCTACAGCCAAGACTATGGCGGCTACAGCAACTACGAACCTTCTGGTGCTTACGGGAAGCAAGGCAGTTACGACCAGAACCCAGGCCTGCAGCATGAAAGACAGCCTCCACATGAGCCATAGTCTCAACTCCTTAAAGGGGGCTTTAGAAGGGATTATAAAGGGGAGTCTTATTAGGATTATTAAGTGGGATACTTGGAGTGTAGACTATAGCCTACATGATCCCAAAGACGAGAACTCAACGTACTCCTTACGATCCCTGTCATTCCGGCTCAGTACAGGCCCAAATATAATTATGTCCCGCATTATAGTTATAGGGGCTCCCAAGAAGCCGTCCCAATTTTTCTTCAAATCCCGCATCTATCCTTTGGGTTCTCTAAGGCTAGCTTTGAGGCCATTCAGTAACAAGGCGCTAGTATGACTCCTATGACGGTTTCTGGTAACTGTTACCCTAAAGCAGTAAGGAGAACTCATGACCAAGCAGATAGGACCCTGCTGCCTTGTTGTCTGGACTACCCACAAAGCCCAGTATCCCTTAATTAGGGAACGCACCCTATACATGATGTTAAAAACCTAATATGCATCAGGGTATATTCCTTAAGGGGTACCTGTTTTAATCTACCAGTGTTCAGCATGCGCATCAGCACGAGCTTTGGTCTACCTATGCTATTCTATTCTCGCTTAATCCTCACTCGGCCATGCTGTATCATGCCTGACGAGAATTTGCAGCAGCTAAAGGCTGAGCCCCTGTTAGTTAAGGAACTCAAATTATGCTATTGTTGTAAGTAAGGAAGCCATATTCGTTTTTTAGATCCATACAACGATATCTGAATCTAAGTCCTTGGCACCAAATCATAAGTAGGTCAGAGGAATGTAGGATGGACCTGTGACTGGTTTTTAGGGTTCTGGGTTGCTCGCCCCTTGCTTCTGATCCTGAGAAGCATAGCAAAGAAGTTCGGAAAGCAACAAGAAAGCTACTGAAGTTCAAGCTGGGCACTGTGTGTTGAATGAGGGTGAAATGTGCAAGGATGTTCAATGTGACGCATTCTCCGCTCACAACTAGCAAAATGTTTGGAAGGTGGCTATGGCGACGACTTCTACGGTGGCCCTCCTGGATATCCACAGGAACCTGAAGGACTACATGTGGGGTTTAGGGTTTAAGGTCTATGTGGGGTCTCTGACATAGGTTTCCATGTGAAACCTGAAATATTCAGACCCGGCTGAAAAAAGACAGCAATGATGCAAAGTTTGGCTCCTGATTCCTTGGAACGGCGGGGATTTCGTGAGTTAGCTATAAAGTCGGGTAGTATTCACGGATGAATTCTCGCTCCATTCGGTTATCCCAGGCGTCAATGGATGCATCAGGCTTGGCCTAGGCGCATAGCCTTCCATTCAGTAAAAGCAGCATCACAAGATAAAGCATCATTATTCGCTTCAAACTCGCAAGCCCGCACCTCCCCCGCATCTCAAAACATACACGGGCACGAAGAATGGTTGCATGTGAGGCCTCCAAGTGATCATGTTGTAGGCACACGCACGCTGAATCATATCTAGGTTCAGCTTCATTCTCTCGAGAAGGCTACTTTGCCCTTTGACCCTTTCTTTTGCTCCTGCGCCCAGCCCCGCTTTGCTGCCACGAGTCTTAAGCTGCGAGTGGAGTGGAAGGCTGAGCCGCAAGCCATTTGCAGGCATGGCTGTGAACGATGACCCTTCTAAGAGCATCAGCTCAGACACTGGCCCTTTCGATGACACTCTCCTGATGGCACGCCCTACAGGCGTTGCTCAGGCTTGTGGATCCATGAACGGACCACAGCAGACGACAGCAGCGCTTGGCGCTTGGGTGATGTTCAACGAAGGCTGTAAGCAGACGTGCCAAGGCGTGCAGTGGAGCCAAGCACGGCATGACGTTCCCGCCCCTTGGATGGGGTTGTGAAAACTTCCAGGGTGTGGGTACAGCCCAGGCCTTTTGACACGTTGTCATGCCCTTCGGTGCAGGTTGGAGAAACCTCCTTCGGGAGCTGAAGAGCGTTGAGCTCGACAACCTGAAAGTGCTGTGCCTGCTGTCCCTGCAGGATCAAGTCCAACTCGGCCTGATCAAGGACCTGCGCAGGGGCAGGGCAAAGCTGTCGGGACATCATGGCAGCTTGGAGGTGGCTCGACATGCCAAAACAGAACTCCAAGTGCTGAATGTGTGCCAGTTCCCTGCTTTTAAGGACCTCGAACTAATTTACAATAGGTTCCCAATGAATAGAGGAGACCATTATGCTGACTTTTTAGCCATCTTAATTAGGGTAGCTTGCTTCATTTCCTTCAAAGCAACCTTGGTGAATTGGTGGGCCATCTAATACGCAGCTTGACCTTTCTCTTTCCTGCACTGACAGCTGCGAGTAAGTTGTCTGGTTGGTTTAGGTTTGTAGGGTTTAAGGGTTTAGGGTTTACGGGTTTCAGGGTTCAGGGTTTAAGAGTTTAGGGTTTAAGGCTTTCAGGGTTTAGGGTTTAAGGGTTTAGGGTTTAGGATTTCAGGTTGAGGGTGTCTGGTGATTCTAGGAATCCCTCTCCCGAGCAATGAAGCAGCAACCCTTTCATAAATGTGCCCATGTACCATCCTATGCAGACTTAGAATGATTTTGAGTAAGGCAGCGTTTTTTTCCCGGGAAAACGCTTTCCACATTTACAGAAGCCCGGAAGAAGATTGGCATTCATGCATGTTAGCCAGAGTCTAAACTCCTTAAAGTGGTTATATTAAGGAGTAATATAAGGGAGTAGTATAGGGACTATTTAGGATGGTTTGAGGATTTTTGAGCATAGCTCACTAAGCCCTAAACCTAAACCCAAACCTTACAGTAAGCAACAGGAGGCGAGGAAGAGTTTCCTGAAGGAGAGATGCTTGGTTGCACCCTATCCCCGCCCCGCCCATGATCCTTTTCGCAGTCCATTCAATGAGGGTTTTAGGGGTTTAGGGGTTTCCCAAAATTATAGGGACATTATCACAATAATGGGAAATCAAATGGACAAGAAGATGGAAAATGAAATGGAAGCCATTGTATATAGGATTAGAAAGGGATTGTCCGGTAGCCTCCCAAAAATGAACCCAACATAGACCCCCAAATACTATAATCCCTACTTTGGTGATTCCCCCAAAAGGTACCCCTAATTCTGGGAGACCTCCCAGAGCTGAAAAGGACTCCAGGTGTCCAAGGCCTATTGGCTGCTACAAAATGGTTTCCATCGATAAACCAAAGTAGGACTCCTAATTTCAGCCCTAAACTCTAGGACATAAGCGCATAGTATCCCTATAAGGTCCCTATACAACCCTATACCCATTTTAAGGTTACCCCCCAATTTCAGGCAACCTGTTAGAGCTTGTTCTTTACGAGCATACAGCATAGTTTGGGGCTTATGGTTCTAGGGGATAGTTTGGGGTTCAAACAGCGGTTTGCTGGGTGGCACTTTGGGCAAAATTGACAAAGTTTTTCTGCATTGTTTTATATGGGAACCTCTTCACAACTAAGTTCGGGGACCTTCAAATTACCAAGCAGTTTAGGGTTTGGGGTTTGTTTTTGTTTAAGGCCTGATGATTGCCACTATTGTGTTTCTGGGTTCTCTTTATTATTATGGTGTAGTGTACCTCGAATAGACCTCAACATGATGTTGGTAGTTGTTCAGGCCGAACCCTCTACCGTAGGGTATCAATGTACGGGTCATCACGCATACCGGAGTTTCCCATCCGAAAGGCACCTTAAAGGAAGCGTGGTGTTGTGTTGTACGAGCCCTTTTGCTAGCTTAAGGGGGTGCATGCGGGGATTGTTCTGAGGGTCCTTGTAAAGAAGGGACCATTCGGAATTCATGTCCTTTAAAAGGGACCTAACCGAACAGGGAACCTACATTATGGCCATTTGAGGACAAGTATTTTGAACAAAGACCATATGAGCCATACTCTGAACTCCTAGAACCCCCTAAATATCCCCTATAATAGTCGCTCATATAGTCCCCCATAGAGTCCCCTATATAAACCCCCCTTGAATGAGTATAGACTACAGCTCATATGCCCTCTTGGCTACACGTGGGCCTTTTGGGGTCCCAGCTTGGCAATTCCCAGGCCAGGAGGCTACGACGCAGCCGCAGCCGAGCCATGCAAGTGTCCTAGCTGGGCGGCTTGACTTATCCAGGGCTCTCCCTGGTATCAACCAGGACCTTCCTTGTACCCTTAATTGGGGATATATGGTCCCTAATAGTGGGTACTTAGGCCCTAATAGAGGGTAGGAGGAGGGTCTCAGGGTCTAGGGTTTAGGACCTCAACCCCCCCAAACTTTAAGGAAATAATAGGCCTTCTTCATGAACCAGGTATCTAGTAGCGGAATACGGAATATTCCTTTTTTCTGAGGGGTCTGTGTAGGAGGCGGGAGGGGTTATCAGTGGAGAGAGGGATGAGAGCAGGGCGAACTGACTACCTTCATTGCAATGGGGACCTTAGGGTTGAAAGAGCAGAGCGTCGGAGACCATGTCAAGAAGAGGCCGATGTTTTGGCTATGTTACTGCAAGAACCCGTGCTGTAACTTCGAAATGTGCACGTCCGACAACAGGGGTCTCCAGGACAAACCCCTTTTATCTAAATCTTAAGTATCGGGACCTTTTAACAACCCCAGAGTAGAGTAAACGCTAATCCCTACACACACACATATGCCGAGATATCCTTGCATGTCCTCATCCCTTAGCAACGCGCACGTACGTTCATATGCGACAGACTTACATGTATATTCAGAATCTGTGCATAAATAGGTACATGTGCGTGCCTAGGGTCCCTAAATACCCCCCCCCCGTCTTGCAAAAAGTCTCATCTGAGGATCCAATGAGTGATGCAAAGCCTGAGGACTTGCAGCATGCCTCTCTAGCACCGTGGCGGAAATCCTCAGCCCGACTCTTCAAATTGAGGCCTTACCAGGACCCTGTCAACGAATTCTTTTCATAAAGAACCCAAAGGGTCCAAGTACCGAATAATGAGGTACTTGGGTTTCGGGCAATAGTAATTATGGCCTAGTATAGGTTTTGGGTAGGTATATGATTATCAGGTACTTGGACCCTTAGGGATTCTTTTCGTAGAGAATACTAGCTCTGGGGTGCCTTTCTTCGGGTCCTGAGAATCAGGCGCTGTCTTTTCTTGCAGGGGTGTCTAGGGTAAACTTCGTTTGGAGACATTCCACAGTGCCAACAGTACCAACACCCGACGTTCTTAGAGCCTTCTATTATCGGCAAACGTAGGATTCTTTTAATTTGAAAAGCGCAGGCGAAGGCATGCTTGCAAAATGCTGGCTTCGCATTCGTAGATCCCCGTCCCCCCCCCACCCCGATTGATCTATCTCCATTTGGAGGGGACCTGGAATAATAATGTCAAAAATGTAGATTTGAAAATCGATATGGAATCAACTAATTTTTCCCCTCAAAAAACAATTTTCCGGCAACATAATTGTGGGAATAGTTATTCCACACTAACCTCCCAACCGTGGACCCTAATATACTAGATGGTACACGATAATTTGGTGTATAAGGCCAGTACAGCTCCGTACCAAGCGCCGATACTTTTTTCATTGATCCATCCATTCCGAGATGTCAGGTAATGCTTCAGCGTCGCAGTCGTCCAGAACACCGCCTTACCAAGGGGTCACCGAGCTATACTAAACCTTTAAAGGATGATCCAATGGCTTACTTGGAACCTCGAGTACCTACAGCTTAGTAGCAATTACCTCTGATTAGTGGGTGTAGGCAGTCCAGGCCATAAAACTAGAAGCAACCGGGGTTACAGCTTCTCTTCGTGCTACCGGGGAATGACAGAAGGGAAGTCGCGGGCGTACCTGGATTCAGGAGACTCTTTGCAATCAATATTGCAAGGTTCAGACCGCTCGCATGGTGATGCCAACAGCGGAGTCTGCAACCAGGATCCTCTAGCCCCCTACGCGCTAAGCTCTGAACCACCTACCGTCATCCCACCCTTGAGCCCTCCGAAAAGCGTTCTTTGTCTGTGTCGTTCCCCCCTACAGACCTTCATGATACCAGGTGTACGGTCTCGGGCTGGTTACAAGTTCCATAATCACCAGTATTGCGGCGCTAGATTCCTTTCATAGGGGACCTGACATGTACCTAAAAATGTTTTTAAAATTGTTCAGGCCCCCCCCCGAGTTACAGGTTTACGTCTCCAGGTTTCGGAGTTTTTGCCTGGGTGTTCGAGGACGAGGATGAACCGTGTAGTCACTCACAGCATCCCTTCAGAAAATACACCACAAGTTTCTAGGACATCTAAGCCGATTCCTTCATTAGACGGTATTGGCTGAAGCGCACAAAGTTCAGGCCTGAGCTTTTCAGAAGTATCTCAGTCAATCTGATTGACGTAAGCGCACCGAGAAGCTCTTGCAACTCACTGTAGTCATAGCAATAGTAATGTAGCAAGAGAAATAGAGATCACAGAGCTATGCTAATAGCCATGGTGGTAGTAGTGGTGGTGGTAGAAGCAGTAGTAGTAGTAGTAGTAGTAGTAGTAGTAGTAGTAGTGGTGTAGTAGTGGTGTAGTAGTGGTGTAGTAGTGGTGTAGTAGTGGTGTAGTAGTGGTGGTGGTGGTGGTGGTGGTGGTGGTGGTGGTGGTGGTAGTAGTCGTAGTAGTGGTAGTCGTAGTCGTCGTAGTAGTAG